TAAAAAAAAGGGTACAAATTACCCTAGAGAAGAGTGAATGCCTAAAAAATTGGACCGGCAGATTTCCAGGAAAATCTGCTGATGAAGGCAAAATCCTTCATTGGGGTCCCCTGAGATCTGCCTCATCCTATGGTTTTAATGAAATTGAGAGCATCACTTCCAAACATGCCTAGGGTATTGGTAACGATTGGGATAAACACAGTGTTGATGAGGCGATTTTTTTAGGATTTCGGCCTTATAAATTTTTAAAATCTATGGAATAGGAAATTTATAGCTATTAAGATCATTTTCTTCCCTGGTATATTCCATTTCATTATTATCAATGTCTGAATCACTTTCAACGATTTGGATATCCATAGGTGATGACATTTTAAATTATTAACACGTGATTTAGGTTTATAATACAAATGAAAATATAAATTGAAATTTGAAAGTATAAGTGGTAATACTATTGTATGGATAAATCATCAACAAAAAAATAATACTATATCATACTGATCAGGCAAATTTTTTTTATTTCAGATTCTATGAACCTTAAATCTCAATATTGATAGCAATCATAAGGACTTACACTAAAGAATTTAAACTTAAAATCAGCCACCACCCACCTTAAAAGTAATTAACTTATACTGCAGTTCTTGTGCATAGGTTATTTTTCTGCCAGGCTCCTATTCTTAAAGCCTATGGACGATTTTTCGAAATGTTGCGCGTACAAGTACGTGCGGCTTGCCCACAAACGTGTAGAGGGCTTCTCATATTTTTTTAACTTTACACACTAATTAACTTATGTTCCAATTAGATGGAAATGAGGAAAACCTAGCGTAGCTCTGTTGTTTATTCAACGTCAGAGGGCATATGCGCTATATATCACGGATCACGGAAAATATAAATTATATATTTTAAAAAATATTTCAATTTCAAAATTCAATAAATCATAATTATTATTAATTATGATATTATATTTAAATTTTCATGTTTATACTTACCTTCATTATATTTTTTGAAATTCAAAAAAAGTAGTGCGCTAAAAAATTAAATAATTACAAAAAAGTAGCCGCTATTAGCTATAGCTACCAAAAAAGATAGCACGCTACTTTAACAACTCTGTTACACACTATCCAAATTAAGCTTTAAAATTTAGTTTCGATTGCTTTGAAATAAATATAAAATTAGAATTAAATCTTCCAAACTTGAAATAAAAACTATTTTTCTATTAGATTGAAAACAACCTTTCTAAATAAAATTTGTAACGTCCTAATCCTTCCTTTGACTTTCTTTTAACCTCGGCCTTACGCATTCAATTATACAACTTACAAAAAATACAATTTCCTTCCCAAAAATAATTAAACCTTAATCATGACTTATTTCGTGTAAAATTAAGCTCAAAAAATTATAAAAAAATAATGATTAAAATTAAAAAAATATATTTATCAACTGAATAGGTCAGATTTGACATTTAAAAAAAATCATATACCAATTTTTAGTGCTGTAAACATTTTTTAAAAAATCGAACGCGTTCAACGTTCATTGACAAAAATCAAACGCGTTCACGTTCACTTTCTAAAAAAAGGAACACGTTAATGTTCGTTCAAAATTTTATGATAAATTTTTTTTATAATTTAAATTATTAAATAAATGTCTTATATGTTTTAACAAAATATATTAGCCATGTTAAAAAATAATATAGTTTTATTTTGATAATATAATTATAAATACAATAATAGAGCCAATAAAAAGATTTTTATTGATAAAAAATTTTTCTTATTAACTTTTAATAATAATTGTTTTTCAAAATTTTCATCTTATTGACAGGAACTGGAGTTAATACGTAATTAGCTATAATAAATGACACGCTCTACAGGGGCAGATGAGGGGATTGCGGTATTATCCTCTTTTAACGTGGGGATGTTATTAAAAACATTTATTTTTTTATCTTTTGCTTCAAAAATCGAGATAAGTTATACTCCTCCAATCCATCCTCTACTTCCTAGTCAAAAAAAGGATATCTTGAAATTAACAGTTCTTCCATTATCATTTCTAGGGCTTTCAATGCATTTTTCTAATAACGCTATAAGTTTATTTTTTATGGAAGTTTTATCCATGGCCCTTGAAGCTTGAATAGTGGATGTATAATTTCAGAAAGAACATATTGATCTTCATGTATATATATGTTTAAATCTTCAAAAAAAATAAATATATGTAAATAATTTGATAGTGATAGCTTTAATACCTCTATTAATCCCATTCAATAATGTGTCTATCAATGGTTGACAAAATTTTAGGCTACTAATTTTTTTACTTTTAAAATAACTATCGTTATTATTGGGGTCAAATATCCCAAATGCATTTTTCTTCAAATTTAATGATTTTACTTAGTTATATTATATAAAACAAAGAAAATATTATAATCAAATGTCGTTTTAAATTGAAACTTGAAGATTTTGAAATGATATTATACTTCTGGGGCGCATTTTACATTTGATAAGTATTGAATTAGTTCCTTCAATATAGGATGTTACTGTAAAATATTTATCATATTTGGGCCATGGTAGAATCATACGATGAAATAATAATATCCATGCTTATTCTAATCTATTAAATTAAAATATAAAACTTTTTCTAAAAAATTTGGATTAAATTTTTCAAATAAATAAAGTGTATTTAAAATTGAACGAACGTCAAATTCGAAGGCGTTCGTCTTAAAAAAGGAACGCGTTCACGTTCACGTTCAAAGTTCGTTAAAAATAAAAGAAACGCCGTTCATCATTTTTTCAAAAAAATGAACAATTTTTAATAAGTAAATAATATTTTCTTCGGACCAAAAGCATAATAGAAAAATGTTAATATTTTCTTTGGACCAAAATCATAATAGAAAAACGTTATGGTTATAGCGTCTAAAGTGGTTTATAAGCACAATTCCCAAAAATAATTTAAATTTTTTATTTGGTCAGGTCTTATAATAAACCCCTTAATCCAAGATAGCAAGCCTTGACGTGATTTGCAATACTGGTTTTTGACTTTGATGTATTTTAGCAATTAAAACGTTAAGTTACTTTTATATTGGGGCTGTGTTGATCCAGATATTTAACTTGATGTGAAATTCATAGAAAATGGATTTGATAACTGATATTTTGATGGAGTTTTATTTGCTATCTATCTTTTTGGACGAATGCCATAAAACTAAAATATTCCGTTCTTTTGGCCAATGCAATATTTAATGCATTATAATGATTAGGTGTATTTCATTTTTTATTCCCTGAAAGTTAATCTTATATAAAATATAAGCACTAGTGGCTGAATATTTTATGTCATAAAATTATTTTCTTGCTGCAAATAATATCACATATTTAGATACACTTTCTTTAAATTTGTTATTTTTTTGAAAATTACATATAAATCCAATTTATCATTATTTTTATGATATTCAAATTACCTATTAAAAAAAATATGCATAATCATAAAATAAACAATAAAAATATTGGCCCAGTTCAATTTATCAAAAAACACTGCCCCCAATCTAATCTTTAATATTGACACAACATTAAGTTATATTAATAACAAATTTATTGCATTAGTAAATAAAATATATTTTTAAGTAATTTGCATTACACACACAATAGTGTATACAATCATATAAACATTCAATTAGACTCCTGAAAAATAGACTTTTATGACCTTTCGATTTTCAAAAAACCAACTTTAAAACCATGCCCAACTTTACATAAAACGAATTATTAATTATTCAATTTGTATTTAATTAGGATTATTCACCAAATTTTATCCCTTATTTGATCAAATTATTTTAATAATTTGATTTTTCCATATTATTCAAAATTTATCATATGTTTGGCTTTATTCATAAATATTTGAAACTATTTATAAATATTTGAAACTATTTATAAATATTAAAAATTATTCATAAATATTTAAAATGATTTTTAAGTATTTAACAAATGTTCCTTATGGAACATTTTATTTTTTTAAAATATTTCTACATCTACAGATCATTTTTATATATTATAATAAATAATCTAATTTTTCAAGAGTTTGATTCCCAATATGTTTTAAAAATCTTTTATAAATGAAAACCAATCACAATTTTTTAACAATAATGATCAAAGATTCATTCAAAATATTTTTAAGATTCTTTTATACTCTTATTTTTGAAAATATTTTTTTAAAAAAATTAATTTTTAAATAGAATAATGTTTTTATTATTTTACAAATACAAATAATTGATTCGTACATTCAAAAAGAAGTACTTATATTTTCTTTGTGAATATTAAAATGCACAAAAAATATTTCTCCAAAATTGTCACCTTATTAAGCTGTTGCTTATTCATCTTAACCAAGAAAGAAAGAATAGGAAATATAATTACTTCAGGCCAATATTTTATAGATAATTTTAAAAACCCTCTAGACTAGTTCTGACTGAATGTTTTCAATAGTTGCCACTTTTTTCTAAATCTTAAGATTTGGCATAGGTTCTTTAATCAACCTTAACAATCATTTTTTCTTTAGTGTTAAATAATGAATTAAGTTAGATAAAGTCTAGCCTCCTTTGGTCGATTAAGAATTCTTGCACAAGTTGCCCAGTTTGGCACATTTTTTGTCAGGCTCAGCCCAGTATAAATTTTTTTAAAAATTTGCCAGGCCCATAAATTTTTTACTAAAAATAAGGCTTGTCCCATTAAAGTTTTATGAAAATTCAGCTCCAGTACATTAAATTTTTTTAGTAAAAATTTTCTAGCAATCATATTTTTAATATATATTTAATGTTTTCCTAACGTCAATTAAAGCTCTTTTATCTCATTTCTATAATCAGCCTGCCTGATATTTTATGAATAAATTGGCTGGCACAGCCCAAAAAATTTTATACACAAATAATGCAAACTATTAAATTCATTGCCTAGCCTGCCATAACTTTTTTCTTCTTCAATTAAGTTAGACTGCTAGGAAGTACAATAAAAGTATTTTTTTTTACTAATATAAGAAAATTATTATATACTCTAAATCAATATTCATTTACATATATCTTGTGTTACAATAATTCAATTTTTTAATATGATATGTCATCAAATTTAGTCTCAACAAGATTTGGATCATTATCATTGAATAAAAAATTTTCTTGTAGTGCATCCCATGAAGGCTCATCTTCATCATTTTTAATTATTTTATTTGTTTCTAATGGTGACATGAGTGTGCTATTCTAATTTGTTTTAATGAATATTATATTCCCAATTTAATATGAGCACAAATTTAAAATTTTTGTTAGCAATAATTTATAAACCTTTTTATTTTTTGATTTTGGTCCATTATCTTTGAGCAAATCTAAAAATGAACCAAGTGAAACTGAGGATAAAACCTTATCTTCCTTGTAAGATAGTCCTTTTGTATCTGAGAGCTTATCATCAAATATTTTCTTTTGCTGTGAAACAGCATTGAATAAATTAACAACACCTCTATAAATTAACAAATAGAATAAGAAAAGCTAATTATTACTTAGTGGCTATATTTGCCATTTTCTTGTCAAGCTCTTTATTTATTCCACAGGTAGAAAGAAGTAATTTATGCTTTTTTTTAATGCTCAACTTTTCTTTGTCCCCTAAATCTTCATCTATATTGTCTACCTTTTTTTCATGATTATCTTTTCTCTTTTTATTATTTAAGGCTGATTTCATTATATTAGCCCAACGTTCATTTTGGGAAATCTTAGGCGCCAAAACTTTAGCTTGTGTTGTTTCATTATAGTCATCTGAATCCGATGAAGAATCATTATTGAAAGGCAATTGTTTTCTACGTTTCTTATACTTGTGATTACTTTTAAATGTTACACTTGATTCTTTTGCGATCATGTTAAATAAATACACATCTAGACATGACATCTGACATATAATACATTTGAAAGGCAAAGTAAATCACAACAATTGGCTTAACTTCTATTCCAATGCTATATTTTTTATCATAAGAATGCTATTATTAAGTAAATAAAGGAGAACATAAATTTTATCGAATAGAATATTTGTAATACTATTGATCCAAGTTATTTAATGTATTATCGAAGGAGAGTTCCGTGTCAAATTATGGTGGATTTTTTTCGCCCAAATATTTTTAGCCCATCAACTTAAAAAATTAATATCTGGATTGTGAAAAATTTCTAACATATTCAAAGATGATAAAATTTGTTCAAGATTTTTCCTTTCCTTTCATTTCATTTCATTTCCTTCCCTTCCCTTCCCTTCCCTTCCCTTCCCTTCCCTTCCCTTCCCTTCCCTTCCCTTCCCTTCCCTTCCCTTCCCTTCCCTTCCCTTCCCTTCCTGATCCATTATATCTCCAAGACTCCTACACAATTCCCTCTAGATCTAACTGAGCTAATGCTGTCATCCTTTAATAACTAAAATACAGCTTTTGATTTTATATGTTAATATATCACGTTTAAATAATTTTTTTACCTTCTTTTACTTTGTCGATTGATTTTTATTATTTTATTTATTTCTCATCATAATATTATCTATTAACTTAATAGTTTCTTTTATAATTTTGTTAATACTTTGATTGATTAATTTAAAATTGATAACTTTGATAAATGATTGCTTTTTTAATTATTTCCTATTAACATATTAAATAAATATCATATATAAAGGGCTGTAAAACAGTGACATCGCTTTGGGGAGGGGGCTCGCAGGGGCTCAAGCCCCCTGAAGCAAATTTTTTTTTTTAATGGCTCCTTAATATCTCCTTGAGCCAAAAATAAATGTTTTTAATTGCCCTCTGAATAATTTCTTTTATAATTCTATTGAGTAATATATAGATTTAATTTTAATAAAAAATTAATACGACAATCTTAATTTTTATTAAATGAATACTATTTTAATTATTAGATTAGATTATTACATATAAATTATATGTCAGTTTGCAATCAAATTCTATGTTAAAAATATAACAATATCACTCATTGAATATTAATTTAGCATTAACAGTTGAAGCTTAATTGACTTTTATTATTTAAATTATTATAACCCTAATTAAAATATAATCATTTATTAATTGAAAATTAATCATTTAATATTTTAACCGAGTTCAAAATCATTAACAGTTGAAGCTTAATTGTCTTTTATTATTTAAATTATTATATAACCCTAATTAAATAAATATAATCATTTATTAATTGAAAATTAATAATTTAATATTTAAGCCGAGTTAAGAATCTTGATTTTTAAATTTAATTATCATGTCTCTTCCTGAAATTATATTCAAAGTCCAAATCCAAATAAGTATAAGAGATTTATTTATAAAAAAGTAAGTAGACATATAGTTTATAATCCTCTATTATATATAATTTTTTATAAAATATTAGGTAAAATGCCACTTTTACAGAGGTTAATGATGCTTACTACCAAGTGAATGTATGGAAATATTTTTATACCAATCTAATTTGCTAAATACCGACCAAAATTTATTAAAATGTAATAAGACACTTATTATTTAATATATTAATACGGAATCACGTGGTCGAGTTCGGCCTTCTATATATCATCCCCCCAAGCAGTGTTTTAAACGCTACTTTTAAAAGTAGCGCGCTATCGCTACCGCTATTTTATAAAAAAAGTAGCACGCTATCGCTACCGCTATCGCTTTCAAATGAGTAGCGCGCTATTAGCTACTTTTTACGCTACTTTGATTTTTTTTAAAATATTTTTTTTTACGTAACTTTATTTCCACAAATAAAATATTGATATAAAAACATGACTATAATTTGTTACATATATATATATAATTTATTTATTATTGAACTTTAATAATAATAACATTTTGGTACTGTCATCCCCAAGTCTAGAGCGACGATCAGAAAGTATAAGCTTTGCCATACTATATAATCGTTCAGCACTAGCACTTGAGGGCAACGCAGTACTAAATTTAATAAACAAACTTTTTATATGAAAAAAATCATCAAAAATATTTAAATTAGTATTTTTAGATTTAAAAAAAGCATCTAGAGGTTCAATAATATTATTATCATTATTATTTATTTCAAAAAAATCGTCTATGGAAGGCTGCGGTTTCGATCTTGCTATAGTATCGTGGTTAGGCATGCCATTTTTTAACGTTACCGTCAGCCTATCAAATTGCCCTTTAGATTCAGTCAAATTAATTATGGCCAATTTAACTTGAAACTAGGATGAATGATAGCAGCTATTACATTATCATCATCATACAGATTTGGAAATCTAATTTATATCATCCTCTTCCTGTTCTCCATCTTCAATTCAGGAATATTACTAGTATTGTTATTATTATTATTTTCCCCAAATATTCTATATTATTTATATCATATTATAAAAAAATTATAATAAATTTAAAACCTGAAGGCCTTCAGGAAATTAGACCCATTATCCGTAATCATCTTACAAACCTTGTTTTGAATTTTGTAAGACCTATGGATTTCTGCAATAATATTGGCTAGAATGTCATAAGTCTGACAGCCAATTATTCTATTTAGAGCTAACGCTAGATTTTCGTTTAAGATTTTTAGGATAAATCCAATGTGCAGTTACTCCTAAATAAGCTCTAAAATATGACATATTATAAATCAGAAAATAAACATTTTTACCTTCTATTGTGAGTCCAGCAATCTGCCGTTGTACAGACGTAGGAGACATCTGATAGATTTAATATCAAGGATTATTTCATTTCCTTAAAGCTCTCCAAAATTCTTGCCATCAATGTCTGCCGGCAAAATATCTTGGTCCGTGGAGAAAAAGTGTTTATCATCTTTATAAAAGAATCATTATCCACCAAGGATAATGGTTGAACTGTATCTATTATAAAGTTCATAATGACTTTGTCAGCCAATTTTTGGGATACACCAGGTGTTGATGAATCCAAATTGGTTAATTTTGTTTGTATTAAATTTGATTTGGAAGTGGGTTTATCTTCTTCCATTACCCCAAAACTTTTGAGATATTTTTCAATCTCTTTACAATTTGAAGTGTGCACAGTCTAAAATTATAAAATACTTAGAATAAAAATTATGTAGGAGATAAGTACATAAAAATGATTGAAATAACTATTTTAAAATGTTTTAAATAATTTAGATAAAATTTATGAATATATAAAAAAAATATGATTGGTTTTTGATTTTAATTTATTTTAAAAATTAAAGATTAGCCTACACATTGATATTAAATTTGTTTAATATATTACCTTTTATATTTTTTTCAAATTAAAGCTGCTCGTATGATTTGAAGAGATAATTTTGCAGCACATCTTGCACCAAAACCGATATCCAATATTAATTTTTTCTTCAAGGTTAAAATATTTCTTGAATTTTGGGAAAGGATCATCTATATTTTGCTCATTTTCCAAAGAAATTTCAATATCTTCAACAATCTCACACATATCAAGATTTATAATGCTTAATATAAAATGTAATGAAATTAAAAATAAGATAAAAGCAAGGACATACCAATAACGGAATTTCAAAAATATATAATTTAATGAATGCGCGAAATATAAATTAAATACAGATTGCTATTTAACAACTGTTTATATCTAATATATAACAATAATGTATATTTTTAAATATAAATTTAAATTTCAAAATTATATTAAATAAAAGGATTATAATTTTAGATTTTATAAAAAATATATTTTAATAATTTTTGGATGTATTTATTATGTAAAATTGAAAGTAGCGAGCTACCGCTATCGCTATTTTTTAAAAAAAGTAGCGCGCTATAGGTACCGCTACTGAAAAAGTAGCGCGCTATTTTAACAACACTGCCCCCAAGAATGGAACCACCAAGTTAGAATAAGAAAAAAAACATGATCATTCCCGGGATTCGAACCCGGGAGCATAGGATAAGTAAGCCAAGCTCTTGCCTACTAGGCCATAGAGGCTTTCCAAAAATCACGATTTTTCAAATATATTATAAATATATTTGGTAGTGCCTATCCAAATGAAAAATGAACAAAATTCAAATTTGATAGATGGTACCTTATGGTACCAAGCATCATTAACCTTTTACAGACATATCTGACACTTATATAATATATTAAAGTTAATATTTTTAAAATTTTTCTAATAAATGCTTTTGATAATAAATATAAGTAACAATTTGCTTACAAATATTTAACGCCATCTAATTATTTACAATATATTAAAATTAAGCGTATTTATTCATCCTCAATGACATATAATATACCTAGACTGATGATTCATTCATTAAAAGTGTACATCAATACAAATCAGCTGGGGACGCCATTTTGGTAACCTATAAAGTAATTATTCTCATGTAAAAAGCTGTTATATATTTTCTAATTTTTTGGAATTAAAAAAACAAATATATATTATCCTAATTTTATGATTAAGATTGATGTTATTAATATGTTATTTTAAAAAAAAATTTCAATATTTGAAGATATTTGCCACTCATATTTTCCAAGTATATTAATAATTTATGATTGATATTTGATAAGGATTTGTTTTTCATTGTGGTGATCATTTCACCATTGATAGTTTTATTCCATCTGTTACGGGGCTACGAAGTTTAAAGGAAGGATCTATACCTACCATTTTCAAAATACCCATTCCTCTTCAGGATGTATGATTATAATATAAATATTTTATGTTCCTAACCCATGAGACATAGTCATTAGGAGGTAAAACATATAGGATTAAGTCCCCGAAAACTTTGATCTCCTTATAATTGAGTGTTTTAAGTTTTAAATAAAAAATATCACTTTTTACACTAATGTTAATATTTTTTTAAATGAGTTCCCTTTATGTCGAAAAACATAATATCTTATTTCCAAAGATGATAAAATATTCATATATATATTTATTATGAAATATTCTTCA